TTCTGTGATTCTGATGGGCTTTCCTTTGTATGTGATTTGTTTCTTTTCTCTAACTGCTTGTAGAATTTTGTTCTTCTGTTGGGTTTCTGGAATTTATATGCCTAGGTGTGGATTTTTGTTTTTTATCATGGCTAGTTGGAGTCCTATGTGCTTCACTTATCTGTATGTCAAGTTCTTTTCCCCTGCTTGGGATGTTTTCTGCCATTACATCTATGAACATTTTTTTATGTCATTTGCACTCTCTTCTGTTTCTTCATTGAGTCCAATCAGTTTTATGTTATTCTTCTTTGCATCATCTAGCAACTGCTGGATTGGTTTCTTGTGGTCCCTTATTGTTTTTAAGAAATTTTTCTTTTCCTGGTCACTAATTGTAATCCTGTCTTCTATATCTGATATTCTGTCCTCACATTGTGTCATTCTGCTCTGTAAACTATCAGTGGAACTTTTAATCTCCTGGATATCTGTTTGCATCTGCTTTATGGATTCCATTTGTTTCCTATCTTGGGATTCCATCATGTTCCTCAGCTCCTCTATTTTTTTTAATCTGTGTCTGCTCTAGAGTTATTAATCATTTGTTGCACTATGGACACAACCTCTGTTGTTATCTGAGAAATTATTTTTTATTTCATTTTTCCAGATCCTCTTTCATTGCCAGTTCAGGGAGTCCAGGTGGTTGAGTATCAGTGTTCCATCTCCTTGTCCTTTGGGGTTACCTTAGGTGATCTGGAAGTCTGGTTTTGAGACTTGTTTACATGTCTTCTTATTTCAACAGATGCAGCCTGCTGCACCTTTTTTGAGGTGACTTTTTGCTTGCTCAGTGGTCTTCAATTCTCAGCAAGCCACCAAGAGGCCTTTTTTCTGCTGCTTACTACTGCACCAATTCCTGGGTTCAGAGTGGTGGCCTTCTGGATCCCTGCACTGCCCTGTTGTCCTGGTGGGGTTCTGGCTGGGACCTGTGCACACTTGGGATGGTATCTAGGCATTCCTCTGGCTGGGGCCTGCCCCCTTGTGTAGCTGTTTTCTGGGAGGGCCTTTGGCTGGCGGCTGTGCACCTCTCACTGGTGTCTGAGCAGGCTTCTGGCTGGGGTCAACACACATTTACTGATGGAATCTGGGTGGGCCTCTGGCTGTTGCTTGTGTGTCTTGTAGCTCTTTTCCGGGTGGGGCCCTGGCTGGGATCTGCATGCCCCCATGCAGCCCTCCTCCATGTGGGCCTCTCACTAGGATCTCTGTTTTGCTCTTTATTTATAATTTGGGCTTCTCATATAAAAGAAACCATGCAGTGTTTAAGACTGTGTATCTGACTTACTTCAATTAACATTATCGTCTCAAGGTGAACCCATTTTCCCACAAATGACTCAAGTTTATCCTTCTTTATCCTCCATGATGTATAAATATCACAGTTCTTTATCCCTTCATCTGTTGATAGGTATGCAGGCTGCTTTCAAGATTTAGCTATTATGAGTTGTGCTACTATAAACATGGGTATCCAGTATCACTGTAATAGGATGTCTAACTCTTTCAAGAAGACAAGTAACTGGATCAAATGGAAATCCTAGTTTTAGTTTTCTGAGGAATCTTCATACTGATTTCCATAGTGGTTATACCAGTTTGCCTTCCCTCCAACAATTAAGAAGGAAAGATGCAGGACTGGGGATTTAGCTCAGCGGTTCTGGTGCCTGCCTCACAAGCACAAGGACCCGAGTTTGATCACTGGTACCAAAAAAAAAAAGAAGAAGAAGGAAAGATGCCTTTTCCCCTGCAGCCTTACCACCATTTGTTATTGATTTCTTGATGATGACTATTCTTTCTGGAGTGAGATGGAATCTCAGTGTTGTTTTCATTTGCATTTCTCTAATGGCCAGAGACATTGAACAGTTTTTATGTATTTACTGGCCATTTGCATTTCTTCTTCTGAGAAGTGTCTGTTCATTTTACTTGCCCATTTTTTAATTGGGCCTTTTATTTTTTAGGGGTGTCTAATTTTTTAAGTTCTTTATATATTCTAAATATTAGTCCTCTGTCTGAGGAATAGCTGGCAAAATTTTTTTCCCATTCTGTAAATTGTCTCTTCACTGTTGGTTGTTTCCTTTGCTATGTAGAATTTGATGTGATCCTATTTGTTGGTTCTTGATGCTATTTTTTATAAACTGGATACTATTCAGAAAGTACTTTGCCTACACCTTTGTCTTTGAGAGCTTTACCTATTTTATCTTCCAGCAAATTAAGTGTTATTGCTTTAACACTTAGATCTTTGATCCATTTTTGTTTTAGTTTAGTACTTGGTGAGATATATGGATCTAGTTTCAATCTTCTGCAAGCAGCCAGTTTTCCCAGCACCATTTGTTAAAGAGGCACTCTTTCCTCTAGTGTAAGTTTTGGCCCTTTTGTCAAACATCAGATAGCTAGGGCTGTTTCTGCATCCTCTATTCTGCCCCTAATGTGAAAATGCAGTATTTTTATTGTGAGTAATGGCTGAGCACTGAACTCCAGTGCACTTTCTAACTAACCTTCACCTGACTTCCCAGCATGGATGCCCTACAATGTCCCCTGGGAACACACAGAAATCAGCTTTAGAGACAGGAAATGACATGCTCCAGGCCACACAGCCAGGGAGCCAGGCCCAGGCCCTCCACCACCCCTGCTTGGCCCCAGGCACCAGAGAAGTGGACAGAGAAGGCTTGGGGTTAAGACTGGTGAGAGTGCAGAAGGCTCTCTGTCATCACAGGGTGTAGCCCTGCTGTCAAAGAAAGATGGCCTGGAGCCCTTGGGATTTTTGTGGTTTTCCCAAAATTGAAAAGAGAAAGGAGGCGGGTGGAAGGGCTTGGGTTCAGGACTCCCAGCTTCTCGCCCCAACCCCCAGCCCCGTCTCTGCCCTTCATGGACCCTTGGCTTCTTTCTCCCCAAGGCCAATGTTCAACACAGGGGTTGACAAACTTCTGTAAAAGGTCAGGCAAGAGATAGGTCAGGATTTGGGAGCCATGGTTTCAAAGCAGCCATTGACTACACATCAACAGATGGACACAGCTTTGTAAATAAATAAAACTTTATTCACAGAAGCAGTCAGCCATCAGCCCATGAGCTATGTTTGGCCAGACCCTATGTGAACAGATGTCATCAACACTGTCTTACATGGGAGGGCATGATGGGGGGACTTCGGGCACCAGGCGAGGTGGGGGACACACATTTCAAATTCGGAGCTGAGGACTGTTCCTGCTGCTGTGCACAACACAGCAGAATTGTCTACAATGTGGGGCTTCTCCTATCCAGTCTTGCTTTCCCAATAAGGTTTACAGCACACCAGAGTCAGGGACAAGACTGTGGAGTCTCAAGCTCGGATCTGGGCTCTGCTGCCACCAGCAGCTGTGTGATTTTGGGCAAACTGCTCACCCTCCCTGTGCCTCCTCTTCCTATCTGTGAGCAGGGCTGGCAATCCCATGTCCTGGCCCACAGCAAGGACCATGTGTATAAATTGCTGAGCTCCCACAAGGCACCCAGCAGGGCTCAGCACAATGTCACTGCCACCTGCAGGTGGGAGTCCGCAGTGTCGGGGCGGCAGCAGGTGGCTGAACCTCCACTACTGACTGAAATTCGTGTGTCCCCAGCTCCACAGGCACCCGGGAGGCCGAGCGCTTTGGGACCCCTTCCCGAAGGGCCTCCAGTGTCACCCGGGCAGGCAAGGAGGAGAACAGCGGGGGCCTCAAGTACAAGGCTGGCCGGGTGAGTGACTGAATGCAGTGTGCCGGAGACCTATTCCCTGGTAGAGGCTGTGCTGCCCTGGGGCCCGAATGTTCTCTCCCCAAGGTTCCTTGGTTGGCCTGTGAAGGTGGACAGAGGGCCAGCTCACAGGGACATCTGGGAGATAGCTCAGCTCTGGGTGCCTCTGCCACAGGAGCCGAATGATGCCATGGCTGTTGGCCCACGTCCCCTCAGGCTTAGAGTCCTGTCCCTTGGAGCCCAGGTCTCAGCTGCTGTGTCGGAGTCACCAGGGCTGCTGCAGATCCTGGGGCCTCCCCTGCTTCCTGAAGCAACTCCCAGGGTTGGGGCACTGAAGGGATCCAGAGACCCTCAAACTCTGGGAACCACCAACTTCAATTTTGAACTCCAGGGATGGGTCCGACCATAGGGCTGAGCCCACTGTGACCAAACCCAACAGCAGAAGGACACATGTCTGGGGCCTGACCCTAAACAGATGCATCAGACACAGAGGGTGGGACAAGGTCACTCAAGTGTTCCGGCCCACAGCACTGCTGAGCAAGGCCGGGGCCCAGTGGGGCAGATGGGTGGGTGGGTGGAGGACCCCACCTGCACCCTCAGGACCCGCATGCAGTGGAGGCAACATCACCCCCAAAAGGGCGAACATGTAAACACCTCACTGTCCCTCTGACCCCACAGACCCACACGTGCCGCAGGCAGAGCCATGGGACTAGGGAAAAGCTACCAGCCTCTTTGGGGGCAACATTTGTTTTTTTAAGTGGAAAAACACTTATCTAAAAAGAAAGTCAGCCAAGCAAAGAAATCATCCCACAGCCCTTCCATGACCATGCAGAGGTTTTGTGGTGAGCACATCCTGTGCACCAGTGCCTGCCCCGGGCACCCGGTGCCCTGCAGGTGGGATTTCTGCTCTTCACAACAACCCAGGGCAGGCTCTTACCTTTCCTCTTTTCGAGGATGAAGTGATATTAAGGATTGAGCTCAGGGCCTTCACACAGAGCTATATCCCTAGCCTTTTAAAATTTTGATTCTGAAATAGTGTCTCACTAAGTTGCCCAGGCTGGGCTTCAATTTGCAATCCTCCTGCCTCAGCCTCCCAGTGCACTGGGATCACAAGTGCCACTGCCCCCAGCTACTTTTCCCATTTTGTACCTGAGAAAATGGAGGCTCAGAGAGGGGAGGTGACTTGTTCAAAGTCACACAGCTCCAAGTGGCAAAGCAGGAACCCAAATGCCAATCTCCAAGTTTCCAAACCCTAAACCCTTCTCCATAGCAGGAGTGCAGGAATATTCCCTCAGGACCCAGAGCGCAGACACACACACACACACACACACACACACACACACACACACCCCGCCCGCCATCATCCTGACCATGCTCCCTACCAGCTGGGAACGAAGTCTCTCCTAAAGTTAGTTCACCAAATCCTCTCCATCTCCCTCAGCAGTGGCGTTCTCTTACTAAGAAGAGGAGCGCAGAGAGGTTAAGGGAGCCACTTGAGGTCACACAGCACATTTCATAGATCTCAGCCACTCAATTCTTATCTCTCTTCTTCCTGTCCTTCTGTTTCATTCCTCTCATTCTCAGCTGCCCCTGGGGAAGATAGGACGGGGTTTCAGCAGCAAAGACCTTGATTTCCATGACGACTATGGCTCACTTCAGAACGAGGACTGCGGAGATGATGACCCCCAGACCAGGCCAGAGCAGGGCTGCCTGGAAGGCTGCAACGGCCTGGAGGTCACCAATGTGTAAGGGACCCAACACAGAGAGGCCGAGGAACAGCAGCCCAGTGGCCCCAAGCCGGCCCCATGTCCAGGCAACCTCAGGCTGAGGCTGGGCCTGCTGGGACGGAGACAGGCGAGGCAGTGTCTCGGGGTGTGTGGTCCCTCCTGGGGTGTCATGCAGCTGCCAAGATGGAAAGGGGTCCACAGGTCCCCAGGGCCCCTTGCTAGGGCAGCAGCGGGACTCTGAGCAGCCCAGCGGCCAGCACATGGACAGCACCTGCACGGGGGCAGCAGGCGGCAGGAAGAGACATCTGCAATGGCACCTTGCTGCAGCCTCCTGGAACTGGGGTCTGACTAGGGTCACCAACTCGCTGTGAGGTGAAGCTGGCGGGCTGATCATCTGTGTCTCAGGGGGACAGATATGTTGAGGAGCTGTTTGTCATTGTCCCCAAGGGGCAAGTGATGGATGGGCAGGTGGGGCGTGGCAGCAACATTCCCCACCTCCTGTCACTGTGACAAAGGAGCCAGGCCACCAAGTTCAGCCAGTGACAACTGCCCCGGTGTGGGGTGAGCTTGGCATCCAGGACAAGAAAGGCTCGCCATTGCTGACAGCCCCTTGCTGTGGTATCCCTGTCACCCTGAGGTACAGGTCCCACGGGGTAGGTCTCGGGGTGGTGTGGCAAGAACCTGCAGCCCTTTTCTTGCCCGCCACTGTTCTGCTGTTTGCTTCTCTCCTGTGGCCTCACATCTCTGTGCCTCACTCTCCTGGAGCCACCGTGAGGATTAACACGTGCTAACATCTGTAACCTACTTCTCTTCTTGGGGGCAGTGGGGCATTTGGGGCGCGGTGGGGTGTGGGACACTTCCCCTCACAGCAGAGAACCAGCCCTGCCCTGGTGTCTCCAGTTCTGCAAAGGGAGGAGGAAGGAGTGGCATCCAGATTGCCGAGCCCCGGCTTGGCCCCACATGAGATGGGATTCTCATGAGTGCAGCCCTAAGGACCAGGGACCCAGTGTGCAGGCCTGAGCTGGCTGGCCGCCCATCTGTCAAGTGACAATCAGGACAGGACACACAGTCTGCACACACTGGTCCCGGGCAGGTCCTTGGCCAGAGCCAAGACGCTCCACTTCCTCTGAGGCTATCTGCCCCGGACCTGAAGGAAGACTGCAGAGAGTCTGTCTCTCCCCTACGAGGAGAGGAGCCCTGGTTACCTTGACCCGTGACCTTAACCTGTGACCTCGACCCCTACCAGAGACCATTGGCAGCTCCTCGGTGACCTTCATGAAGCACAGGTTTTCCACTACCTGAAATCAAGTGCCCAGCTGGTAGGCAGGGTGCCGGGACCAGGGTGATTCCCGTACGTGACCTGGCTCTGCAGAGGCTCCAAGTTCCGGGGGCGGGTCTGATATCCTGTGGTACACGGCTTTCTGAAGCTCCAAGGCTTGCAGCCCGGAGAGGACAGAGAATTCTTTCTCACCGGGTGCCACTGTCACTCCTACGCCACCCAGTGGGTGACCTGGGACCCAGGAGCCTGGCTTGGAAGCGGTGACACCTGCAGGGTTGGCCAGGAAGGAAGAAAGGAGGCTGAATGCAGAGTTGAGGCTTTGAAAGCAACATTCACCCACACTGCTGGGGACGACGCTGGCATCTGTCCAGGACAAGACCCTGCTGGGTGCAAGACAGGCAAGCGGACCACGCACCACTGGGTCAATGGCATCGCCCACAACACTTGTAGCAGGTGGCCAGCAGGCCTGGGGCAACACCAGTGACCTCAAATGCATCTGGGGACCCAGCGATGGTGGCGAGGCACCCTCAAGGAAAAGGGCTGCCATCCCTGGCAACCAGCAAGGGTCTGGAGTTCAGCACGACCACGAGGACAGGCTGTGTAGTAAAGGAATCGGGGGTGAGCTTGGTTAACCCTACCTCTCTGCTCCACAGTGGGCAGGGGGAGCCGGGGCTGGAGACTCAGCAGACACTCGAGGTAGCTGGTCAGCAAAGACTGGCAGAGCAGTGACACAGGACGGCGACCTGCCACGTCCCATCCACACTGAAGTAGTCACAAGGCCTCCAAACCTGGGATCCTGCAGATGAGCTGCTCTGGAAGCTGCTGTGCTATGCCCTGGAAGGGGAGCCAGGGCAGGGAGGGAACCCCACAGTGCTGCTGGAAACAGGGGCCAGAGCACCACAAGCCACCCTCCTGGGGGGCTCTGCGCTTTCTGACCTGATGTTGCAGAACAGCCCTTTGTCCAGGGCCCTCCCCCACACACCTGTCAGCACGGGTGCATCAGACCAGGCTGTAGAGCTGCCATGGAACCATGAGTGCAGGGGGCTGGAGGGGCCTCGAACAGGGTCAGCTCACCCAGCAGGGCTGGATCTTGGCAGACACAACTTCAGCACACGCTACAGTGGCCCCAGAGTCCTCCCCAGCCCAGGCCCCTTCCCAAGAAGCCAGTGTGTGCTCTGGTCCATCACTTCTGAGTGTCAGGCTCCAGCAGGGTCTTCCCCAGGAGTGGCAAGAGACAGGAACCCCGGAGATGGAGACTTCTGGACCTAGCACTACTACCCTCAGTCAGCCCGTGAGGCAACTCTGCGGCTGCGCAGGAAGTGAGCTGTCTGAACAGAGATGAGGTTGGCAGCTGTGGCCCCAAAAGTCTCCCCCAAGGGAATGTTAACACTGTAACAATAAACACTACTGGTGACTGTGTGTACCTGTCTCATTCAGTTTCCCAGAAGCCTCTTCGACAGGCTACGAACCCACTTTATGGTTGGCGATACGGAGGGTGGAAAGGTGGAGGGGCTCACCCTGCTCCATCAAGCTCAGAAGCCCCAGGCAGAGACTTGAACCCGTCTGCCACCCCATCCCATTCTCACCCCTCTCTCCCTGTCCTGCCATTCAGCGCTCACTCACCAGGCCAGGTGGTGCCACATAAACTGGAATGTGAGTGCCCTGTCAGGCTGGGAAAGATGCAGTCTCCTGTCCTGGGACCCGCAGTCAGGGGAGGGGATCCAACACGTCACCAGCCCCGATGTCCGCTTCTGTCCCTCCTCCAAGGACAGGTGCATGTGCACAGCCAGAATGGACCTTTGGGTGGATCCCAGATCCCAGCTCAATGCAGCTCTGACTGTCGTGTGTGACATCTTTGTTGGTACAGATGCCGAGAGGGCTCTGGGGTCAGCCTGAGTGCCAGCATTTCTCATGGGCTCCCAGCAGATGCTGCAGATCCGGGGACCACACATCAGTAACAGAAAAAGCAGAGGTGGGGGGCAAGAACAGACCCTTCAGGGCCAGGGATTTAGCTCAGTGGTTCTGCCGCCTGCCTCACAAGTACAAGGGCCTGAGTTCGATCCCTGGTACCAAAAAAAAAAAAAAAAGAACAGACCCTTCAAAGGCACCTACTAACAGCCAGGCAGCTACAAACTCACCCACGATGAACCCACGGATGAGTGCAGCACCGCCATATCCAATCACCTTCCACAAACCCTGTCTCTATACACAGGAGCCTCTAGGGAACATCCTAGATCAAGCCCAGCAGTGTCCTGCAGCCCTGGCTGCCCTGGCGGTGAGGAGACAGGAAGGGAAGGGTGGAGCCTCATCTCTCTGCGTCTCCCGAAGTTTCCCCAGAGTCCAGGACAGTCCCAGTTCTCAGGACAACTAGCCACTGAGACTTTGTTTGGGGGTTTGTTCTCAGCACTTGCTGCATGCCAAGGCCTTTGCCTAAACCGCTCCTTTAACCCTAATGCTGTCCCAAGGGGCGTGAGCTGTTACCATCCCCACTGACAGGTGGGAAGAGACACCACGGCTCCTCTGCAGAGCACAGGTGGACTCTATCATCTGTGTCCCACCAAAGGCCCTGAGCAGCCAAAGCATCCCCAGCCTGCATTCTTGGGACTTCCATGCATCTCCACTGACCTCCACAGAGCATGGCTGCTGCCTCAGAGCCACTCTGCACCCTCCCTTTTGCATTTGGGTTATTAAAGCTCCATTCTTGGGTACATCAGCCCCTCTGCAAGCTCTGCACACTGCGTGTGGTTTTGGGCAGTGCAGAGACAGCCGTTCCCAGCATCACAGAAAGTTCATGGGATGGTACTCCCATGAGGTAGACTTGGAGAAACTTGGGGGACCATGTGGCCCTGCCCTCGGGATGCTCACAGCATGGCTAAGGGGAAAGAATCAAGGCTGTAGAAAAACATAGCTGGAAAATAAACAGACCCTAGGGCAGGTGGGGACTCTGTACCCAACTCGAAGACTGGGTGAGCACAAAAGGCACTGATTGGCTGACATAAAGAAAGGACAGCCCAGAACAACAGTGGCTGTGGACACACTGGGCCCAGAGCTTCAGAAAGTGTTTTCAGGATATTCATCCTCTTGGTTTGCTTTCCCACGTAGCTTGTTCATTTTCAGACAGATCATCCACAGTTGTTGGCAACACAGCCAGGAGGCAAACACTGTCCAGGGCTGGTGAACTTGGCACAAGATCAAGGTGGTACTCCCAACTGGCATAGGACAGAGCTGCAAGGCCACCAGCCGTGGGATCAGCCTGCCCACACCTGCCCACCTGAGGGGAACTGCAAGTGCCAATTCTGTAGCTACCAAGGTGAGAGAACAGTACAGACCTTGCCCAGTGTTTTGGGTGTGGTCCCAGGAGCCCTGCGGACATGCAGGGACACGCAAGCACCTCACACATGAGGTGTGATCCAAGACCATGGGGAATGTGAGCCATCAGATGGCGCTCGGCAGTAGCATGCACTGTATTTTTTATCACACCTCATAAAGACACTCATGAAAGAGGACGTCCAGAACCTCTTCAGGAGGTGGCAAGAAGGATGGGATGAGTGTGTCCAAAGCAAGGAGGAGGATTTTGAGAGGGTTAATGTCAATGTGTCTTACTGTGTTTTTAATCTCAATATTCACTGTATTTTTTGATCACATGCCATACAGTGTTGTGGGACTTGCGCATAACCTATGTGCGCTTGTCTACTTTAAGTCAGCTCTGGATGACTCTTATACCGAACAGAGTGTGCAAGCCATGTAAAGAGCCACAACCCTGTCCTGAGTAGGGGACAGTGAGGAGAGAAAAATCTATGTGTCTGGTACAGGTGCCATCCATTTGTTCCCAAATATTTCCATCCAAGTGGACTGAACCCATTGGGAACCTGCAGCTGTGGGGTCAACTGTTCTATGAAACCACAGTGGTGAGGGGCTTCCCACTGGGCTAATGTGCCCTCATCCCTGCTGGGGGGCAGGCTGCTGGGCCCAGGAACAGGAGACTTGGCATTCAGAGGGGGATCTGGCCCAGGCCCCAGCTGCTCATGGAAGTGCTGGCAGAGGATGGAGCCTCTGGGGACATCCACGTGGAGACTGGGGACTAATGACAGCAGTACCAATGGGACAACATGCTGTCCCTTAGGGCCCTCGGCACTGTGGATGCCTGGGCCACCCTGCTCTCTGGAAGAGGCTGACAGCAGCCCTAGCCCTTACTCCCCAGTACCCTCCAGATGTGGTCAGATGTTTGGGGGTGCAGAATCACCCCCAACTGACTCACAGCTATCTGCTTTTGCCATTTTCTCCTTACAACAACACTCTCAGGCAGGCATTGGTTTCACCTGGCAGATGGGGAAACTCAGGCCCAGAGAAGTGAAGTGAAGTGGGCGGGGTCTGGCTGGATGAGTCAGGGGCTCCTTCTGATCCCTCTCCCTCGAAGCTATTGCCCCTGTGCGTGCACGCGTGCACACGCACACACACACACACACACACACAGTGCTCACGAATCTGAGCTCACAGGGACACCTGGGCGCACACATCATCACAGAAGGGACAGAACCCTGCCTGGCCTAGCAGAATTGCTCCATCCCCCTCTAGGAAGTGCTCAGCCGATCCCCACGCCCTCCACCCCGCCATCACCCAGCCCGGCCGGGAGGTGGTGGATTGGGGCCTCTTTCTGATCCTCATTGTCCTCTGTACCTGTCTGTGTCCTACACTCCTCCTTCTACTAGGACAAGTGTAAGACCATGTGTCTCATCAAACGCTCTGAGGAGCTGACTACAGCGAAGATCACCTGGGAGGGAACACACCAGACAAGTTGTTAAAGTAAAACAGACCTTTATTAGTCTGGCCAGACTGCACTCTCCAAGCTCCAAGCTTAGAGAGGCAACTGGCTCAGAGTCCGAGGCTGTTTTTATAGGGGGTTGTAGGGGAAGTTGGCAAGCAGAAATACAAAAGTAGAGGACAGAGATAAAACAGACCTTTTACAGATTGTCCTTAAGATAACATATTCAGATATGGAGTTGGGCAAGCATGACGGAACACTACGCACACAGCAGACCTTCCTGGCACAACAACAAGCACATCCCTGGAACTCGATGTCTACCTGGTGATCCACAACAGAAGCAGACAAGTTGGGGCCCTATTACAAAATGGAGTAACTGTTGTTCAGTCTCACACAAGGGTCACATTGGAGTAGGGGCCCCTTCACTAACTCGCTGTAACTGAGTCAACTCTGGAGACTGTCTCCAAGTCTAGTCACACTGTTCGGGACGCCAGTCACCAGAGAGGTCAGCCCTGGGCCCAGAGAGAAGTTAGCCCTGGAATACTGGGCACAGGAGCCTCTTCCTGGCATCCCAGAGTTGTACAGGACATGACAGCACAAACTCTTTACCAATAGCTCTTTGGTTGTTTATTTATTCAAAAATCCTCATAGGGTGTGCACCTCATGCCAAGGCCGTGCAAATTAGAGACATGGACTAAAAACAGTGTTTCACCTCAGATAATGAAAGAAAGGAAGGAAGGTAGGAAGGAAGGAAAAATAAAAGGATATGAAACATATGAGCAGGCTCAGCAAACACATGATGCACAGACAAGACGAGGTGGAGAGAGCAGTGATGGCTCCTTCGCTCTCCTCCCTCTCTGGAACCTCCTGTGCTGCAGCTTCCTGGCCACTTCCCAGCCACCGCAGCGTCCAGGTCTTGGAGGCATTGGGCCCCCTCCCACAGATGCAGACCCTGCAGTGTCGGGGTCATCCCGGTACCGTAACAAACGTCTGAGCTAGTCTGCATACCCAAAGGGAAGATTACAGTGTGGGAGGCTTCTTGCTCTGTGGACTGGGAGGAGTGACACAGGAAGGCAGAGCACAAGCATGTGGAAGGAAGCTGCAGACCTCAGGCTGAGAAAGAGGCTGAGTGGGAGAGGAGGAGCCGGCGCTGAGCCCCTTCCGAGCCACGCCCCCGATGACCTCGCTTCTGCCCGCAGGGTCCCACCACTTGCCCACAGCAGCAGGCCTATGGAGGACACCCACCAGTATGGCCGCTCTGTACAGGAGGGTACGGGCCCCAGGTGCAGCCCATGTGGGAAGCAGCCCATGGTATCACCAAGGTCAGTGTCCAAACCCAGGCAGAAGCTCCCTCTGAGGTGAGTCCCAGAGACCACCCCGCGGATTAGGCCACCCCACGAGGTAGTGTCCCCATGGCTGACCTGGTAGATGTGTGCTGGGGATCGAACCCAGACACTTCACACTGAGCTCCACCCCAGTCCCTTCTTGTTTTTTTTATTTTGAGACAGGTTCTCACTAAGTTGCTAAGTTTCTTTGGCTGGGCTTGAACTCTGGATCCTCCTGCCTCAGCCTCCCAGAGTGCTGGGGTTACAGGCCAACACCAACGTGCCCGGCTGCCACGTGTGCATCTTAAGTTGGCCTCCTCGTGGCC